TGCTTTCGGTCAATTTTGTGCTACGAGTGCAAGTAGCGCACCTTTTTCTTTTTTATGCCAGCCACCGTTTTCATACTCGGTGCCAGCCCAGTTGACCGAATTCGTCATTTTTCGCTACTTATAGTACGGAGACGATCTCATCCCATCCCACTGTTGATCAAAATGTGTTTTTTCTATCTCTTCTAGCTCTATGGGGGTTTCTCTTGGCGCAGCAGCGCTTTGGGTGCTACTTTTCTTCATTGCCTTCCATGGTCGAGCAGCAGCACAAGCAACAACAACAACAGATCCTGACGAGTGTAAGATTCATTTCGAGTCTTAGTAGAACTGATATCTCACTCTCTATGTCGTGCTTGTCTACAGTGGCGGCTCTGAGAATCCTCGCAGATAGTTTGCGCATTTCAAAGTTCTGGAACTTTAGCGTGGACCCTTGCAGCGGCTTGAACGGATGGAACAACACAGCCACCGCAAATTCTTTCAACAACCCGATCACTGGAATCGAGTGCAACTGCGGCAGGGGAAACTCCTCGCTCTGTCATGTCACCAGGATGTAAGAGACCTTTCGGCTTTCTTCTTAACTCGTTTTGCTCTTTGTTTTCTCGTTTTCAGAGTGGTGGTGAGCATGAACGCAGCTGGACAGATCCCTCCTGAGATTGGGAATTTCCCCCAACTGAACGACTTGTAAGTTTGATTCCGGTAATCGTTCAATGCATCATTCCTTTGGGGCTTTCAGGAACTTGGCACAAAACGTGCTCACGGGACGGCTGCCGGACGAAATTGGCTCGCTATCCAACTTGCAGTATCTGTAGGCGAATTCTGTCTCAGCTCTAAGGCGGTTCAGTTGATCCTGCTTACTTTTTTGCTCGTATAGGACGGTGGGAATTAACAAGTTGAGCGGACCATTGCCATCTAGCTTGGGGCGGCTTACAAATCTGGTCAGCATGTAAGAAATTGAGTCGGTACGTGGGCCTAGTCTCTTCTCACTTATTCCTCTGTTTCTCAGAGGTTTTGGATCGAATGATTTCTCCGGAACACTACCAAGGGAGATTGGAAACTTACAGTCTTTGCGCAAAATGTAAGCTTTTAAAGCGTTGTTTTTTTTTCGTCTTCTTCTTTCTTCGGAAAAAATGAATCGTGGGGCTGTTTCAGATACATGGATGCGTGCAACCTAGGCGGGGAGCTACCCGAAGAATTTGGAAATCTGACAAGCCTTGAAATTCTGTAATACTGTAAGCTTTCCACGTTTTTCCTTCTCTTACAGTTGGCTGGAAGCCAGGTGGATGGCTGGAAACAATTTCAATGGGACATTTCCGGAGTTCATTGGAAGACTGGTCGCTCTTCAAGATTTGTAAGCTGAGCCGTGATCCGTGAGATGTAAATGTTAAGAAACGTGTTGCAGGAAAATGCATGGGAATAATTTCCAGGGACCGATTCCCTCCAGTTTAGGAAACCTTCGCAACATAAAGACATTGTGAGTGAAGTATTGTTCTTGCGTTATGACTGACAGTTATGTTCTTGTGTTCAATCTTTAGAGACCTGGGAGACATAACATCAGGAGGTGCAATTCCATCGAGTCTCAACATGTTGAGCGGGATAAACAAGCTGTGAGTTTTCCCTGATTTTGTTAGTTTTAAACTTTCTGTTTAATCTTCAGGATGTTGCGAAACTGCGAGTTGTCTGGTTCCATTCCTGATCTTGGAAATCTAAGTACATTGGCACACCTGTAAGAACTACGATCTAGTTTCAGAAACTAGCTTACACGTTTAATATTTCCCAGAGACCTGAGCTTCAATAATTTGACCGGCGTCATCCCGTCATCCTTGTGGGCGTTTCCTTCTCTACAAAATCTGTACGATTTTGGTTTTTTTTTCTTGTGACTTGTATGTCGGCTGAATTTGTCATTTTGTTGTAAAGTCTCCTTGGAAGCAACCGCCTCACTGGACCGCTCCCTTCTCAACTTGCATCAAGAAGTCTCCAGCGCCTGTACTGCGTTTTTCTTCAGCTTATTTATTCTAGTTGGTTGACATTTTATTGCAGGGATGTCTCGTTTAACGAACTGTCTGGACCCATGCCAAGCTGGATAAGTAGAATCGCTCAAGCGTACGTCACTAACATTTTCACATTCATTTTTCTGATTTGCATTTTTTGTTGATTTTAGGAACACCATATGGAACCAATTTAATCTTAATCCAGAGTATGTTTTGAAGTATTCTATTTTCCTGAGAACATCATGTGATTTTCACATTTGCGTGCAGCATTAGAGCAGCAGCTTCAAATTGTCTGCAGTCGAGAGCAAACTGCAGCAGAGTGAGAGATGGACGAAGTAAGCTAGAAAGCTTTTCGCTTTTCGTTCTCTGATTAAAATGGATATAGGTTATCAATTTGCTATCAATTGTGGAGGTCCACAAATAACATCGTCTTCAGGGACGATGTTTAGCGAGGATACAGCAATGTTTACTATGGGAACGTTTACTTCAAACGATCAAGCATGGGTAGTAGGCAGTACAGGCTATTCGGATGGCTTTGTGAGGGCTTTTGAGAACACCACTGTGCCGGTGCTGGGGACAGTTGATCGGGGGCTCTACCAAACTTCAAGAAGTGCTCCCAGCTCGCTAAGATACATAGGCCTTGGGATGGTAAATGGTGCATACACTCTGGAGTTCCATTTTGCGGAGATTCAGCTGGACAACAGCACCACTTGGCTCGGTATAACTAGGAGATTGTTTGATATTTATCTTCAGGTAATTCTGTTATCTCTTATGGTAGGCGTTTTTCTTATTCACACACACTCTTGCAGGGAACGCAAAGGGTGAAGGACTTTAACATACAAAATGAAGCTGGTGGTTCCTCCAGAGCTCTAGTGAGAACCTTCAGAAATGTCGAGGTGACGAATAATGTTCTCGATATGCACTTTGTATGGAGGGGTAAAGGTACCTGTTGCTACGGTCCTCTGGTGGCTGCAATTCGGGTGACACCAGGTACGCACTTAATTGTTTTTGTCTACTTTCCAGGCTCGAATAAGTTGGATTTTTTATGTTCCAGTCTTTAGCACTGCTGGTCTGGAAGCACCAGGATCCAAATCAAAGAGTTCGAAAGCTGTCGCTATGGGCGTAGGGATAGGAGCGGCCGTTCTTTTCGTTATTCTCTTTGCTGTGTTTCTGATAGTGAAGCGACAGCAGAGACGGCTTAAAGCTTTATTGGAAGACGAGGGTACGTACATTTTAAAACGCCTTGTGGCAAAATACTCAAGCTTTTGTTGCAGATTTGAAGCATCTCGAAGGCAAGCCGGACCTTTTCACATACAATGAGTTAAAGAACGCAGCACGGAATTTCTCCTCGGAAAACAAGCTGGGACAGGGAGGTTTTGGCGCAGTCTACAAGGGTGTATTGCCTAATGGCACAGTGGTTGCAATCAAGGAGCTTTCGTCCAAATCTCAGCAAGGCTCTCGCGAGTTCCTGAACGAGGTGACAGTTATCTCGTCTGTGCAACATAGAAACCTGGTGAAGTTGCACGGGTGCTGCATTGATGGCGATCACAGGCTCTTGGTCTATGAGTTTTTGGAGAACAACAGCCTTCACCACGTCTTGCTGTGTAAGCTGTTTCAAAATGCTTATCGAGTTTGATGAACTGATTCTCTTGATCCAGCTTCAAGGCGCACAAAGCCCGATCTTCTTAACTGGCCAACACGGTTCAGCATTTGTCTGGGGATTGCTCGAGGACTCTCATACTTGCACGAGGATTCAAAGCCCAAGATCGTACACCGGGACATCAAAGCCCACAATGTTCTCCTGGACAGAAACATGACTCCAAAGATTGCAGACTTTGGCTTGGCAAAGCTGTTCCAAGATCACGAAACTCACGTTAGCACTCGAGTTGCCGGCACAATGTGCGTAAGAGGATGTAAGTTCCATCGAGTCTGCTAACTCTTGTTTTTGTTTTCCAGAGGCTACCTTTCTCCTGAATACGCAATGAGGGGCCAACTTACAGAGAAAGCAGATGTCTACAGCTTCGGAGTCCTGGCTCTGGAAATCGTGAGCGGGAGGAGCAACTTGGACACAAGCTTGCCAGCAGACATGGTCTACTTGCTTGAATGGGTAAGCCAAAACGAGGAAAACATCGGTTTGATCTTTTAAGTTGTTTCCAAACAGGCATGGAACTTGTACGAGAGGAAGCAGGAAATGGACATGGTAGACAAAGAGCTCACAGACGTTTCTCAAGAGGAAGCGGCGAGAGTGATCAAGGTGGCCCTCTTGTGCAGCCACGCCGTGGCTTCCTCGCGTCCGGCGATGTCTCACGTCGTAGCGATGCTCGTCGGGACGTCCCCGGTGGACGTGAGCTCCCTCCGCCCAGGCTACTCCGCTCTCAAGGACGCGGCCCCGGGATTCTTCTCGGACTCCGGTGGAAAGGATCGAAGCCGCAGCGTCGATAGCGTCGATCAGCCCAGCAGCAGCAGCGCCAACACCTCATACGTTTTTAGCTCGCAAGCCTCGCAAGCGCCTTTGAGCTACCAGGAAGAGAACTCCATCGTGGAAGCAAGGTGAAAGTGTTTCCCACTTAACTTTTGGTTTAGTTTAGCTCGCTAAGCGAAAAAAGCATATTCTGTAAATATGCGGATTTTTGGTATATGCTTTGCATTCAAATCTTGGCATTCCGGTCAAAGCGTTCTGGAAGGCAATTTTGTCGTCGGTGGGAACTTGGAACCTCCTACCTAAAGGAAAGAAAAAATAATTGTCACTTCATTCCAAAGCCTGGCCTTTTGACGATTTATTCGAAGTTTTTTCTCTTTTCGCAACACGCAGGGGAACGAATCTGACACGAATTTGGTGCGAGAAAAAGATGGTTTTCATGGGCCCTGTACATAAACCATGAAGAACTGAACTCCTCCAAGCTGCCCGAGTGTAGACTCATTCTCGCTTGCAAGTGGTTTTGTTCTATCATTTCTTTTCTTCTTCCTTTTTTGTTTTTTTATTTTTATTTTTATTTTTCTCGAGTCAGACTTCACTGGCCAGCAGGAACGACTTTGAAGATTTCGTCTTGTTTCGCGCAATTTTCCTCTCGTAGCAGCAAAAGGAGTTTGCTTTGCTTTCCTCGCCACTTAATTCTTCGCAAAGAGAAAGCGCGACTTTGGCAAGAAAGGAAAAGATCTCCTCCTCTTTTCTCGAATTCTTCCACTAGATCTGTAGAGGCGAACAGTAAAGAAATGGAGAGCTATACTGGACTTCTCCCTGTTGCTTACAGGAGATTGAAGACGAGGCAATCGGCGAGGAGCTACAGCAGAATCGATGGCACTGACAAGTGTTCTGGAAAGCAGCAACAGCAGCAGCAAGCAGCAAAGGGAGGATCCAGGATGAAGAGCAGGCCTCACCGGAGGAAAATGAGAGCGTGGAGGATCAAGCGTCCAGGCGTAAGGATTGGATTTCTCTCGGCCTGGAAGAAGATGAGGGACGTTTGTGCCAAGGCGCTGTTCTCGCTGTCTCTAGGAAACCAGAAAGTGGTGATGATCCGAATGCGCGATGAGGGGCTCAATGATCTCAAGCACTGAGTCGAAGGAAGCTACTGTTCTTACTGTAAAAAAATAAACTTGTGATCTCTAAAGATGGGACTTCATCAACTCTTACCTCGCTTCTCTATAGCTAGCTGATGTAAGATCTCTTAGCCAGCGTATTCCTTACGTATTAGGCTCTATCTTTGGCTTTCCTCACGGCTGTGAAGACATCGCTATCACTAGCATCATCGGAGAGGTTCAAGCTCCTCCGGATCTCCCGACTAGCTGGCCTCAGAAATGGATTAAACTTCTTTTCTTCTCCCACTGAGGACGGTATCTACACATACAAACCAAGCAGTCGTCACTGAAAGTACTTGTTTTCCTAAGCAGTACCGTGGCAAGGCCGCTGTCTCGGAGCTGCTTGACTTTCTCAAAATGCGAATTTAAGGCCGGGTTGTTCGGTTCAATCGTCATTGCGAACTTCGCGTTCGACTGTAAGAAGCAACCGTGAAGAGAAATGAACCACCTTAATAGAGAAAAAACGATTTGTCCATACCAAGGTATACTCATGACCACAAAAGACCCGAGTTTCATCCGGTAAAGCCGCGAGCTTTGAAAGAGAGGACCACATCTATGAAGAAGAAAAAGTTGTAAAAAAAATACGTGTCAATAAGCTAAATTCAAAGCTCCACCTGTTGAGCAGAACCTTCAAATAGTCTTCCACAGCCGATTGAAAAGAGCGTGTCACCAGTAAACACAGCTCTCGAATCCGCGAAATAGTAACTGACGTGACCTGAAACGCAATCTCCAGATATAAGAATCATGAAACAAAACTTGTGAAACTAAGCAGAGAAAGAGCTACCCCGTGTGTGACCAGGAGTTCCAATAACTTTCATGGCATGCTCTCCAAGCATCCACGTATCTCCATCTTTTAATGGAACGTCAATGCCGGGGATTCCATCGCCAGGAGGAGCAACAATCTACACGACCAACCAAGTATAGTTTAGTTCTTCGCAAAAGAAAAGAGGACAAGAGAAAGAAAAAGAAAAATTCTCGTGCCTGTGCACCATAGCGTTTCTTAAGATCGGCATTACCACCTGTGTGATCCCAGTGATGGTGCGTGTTTATAATGTGCGTGAGCTTGAGGCCCCGCCGCTCGAGAGCTTCAATCACAGGCTGGGCCGTCGATGGATCCACCACTCCAATCGCGCCGGAGCTCGCATCACGCAGCAAATACGCATAATTGTCCTTCAAGCAAGGAATCTGGAAAGAAATTTCTATAGCTCTTCTACGATTTTCGTTTTGCTTACCAGCTCAATCTCCAGCGCGGCGCTAGCCATAGCCGATTGCGAGGAGAAGCAGCAGCGTGACAATCGATAGCGCGCCCCTGAAATCCTCGCGTGCCTCGATGATCGACCGACGAGAGGCGGCGCCAGCGCCACGCGAAATGCCAAACTCCCCATTTCCACTTTAGGGCAAATAAGGGTTAAAGAACAATGACAAAATGTTTAACAGTAACATAATCTTTTTACTTTGAGGTTAAACAAAACTCGTTCGAATCAAAAATCGAATATACCGAATCATCATAGACGTTCCAATGGAGTGATCCCGAGGAGCTTGAAGCACTGCTTCATGACAATGGCAGTCGCTTCACACAGCAGCAATCTACTCGTCTCTTCGGGGCTCCCATTCACCTACACGAAACACAACCATGAGCTTCGATGATCAAACCATTGATTTCTTCCCACCTTGCAGCTCGTGTAAAACCTCGTGAAGTTCTCCGAGAGGTTGTACAGGTACTCGCACAGCGTGTTTGGAAGGAGCCGTGTGACAGCGTCCTCGACGACTTCGGAGAATTGGATGAGGAAGAGACCGAGAGCTCTCTCGTCTGGATGAGTCAGTACAATCGCACCATTCTGGAAAAAGATAAAAAAAAAAAAAAAACGCATACAGCTTAGAAAGATTGAGACACTCGCAAACCTCTTTGAGCTCATCGATGCTTTTCCCCGACTTTCTGATAATGGAGCGAATTCGGGCGTACGCGTACAGAAGGTACACCGCGGTGTTGCCCTGTTAAAAGGATTACAGAAGATAAATGATGGAGACAAACATCCAACTTACTCTAACATCCAGCATCTGCTCAAAGCTAAACGTATAGTTGGTTTCCCGATTGTTTTTCAAGTCGGCATATCTGTGCAACCCACGGTGACGTTCTGAAAGGAAAAAAAAACAGCACAAATTTTTACTTGACTGCTCCGTAGCCCACTGATTCCGCAGCAGCATCCAGGTCCTCTGGACTCCATTCGTCGTCTCTTCCTGTAAAAACAAGGAGATTAAAAAGTTAAGGAAAGAAAGAAAGACAAGAGAGGAAGAGTTAGCTTTACCGCGCTCAATCAGAGCAGTTTTGCTTCGAGACTTGGCTTCATCCAACAAGTCCACAAGCCGCACAAGACCGGTACCTTGTCTGGTTCGAAATCGCTTTCCATCTGTGCCTAAGACCAAACCAAAACCAACATGTTGAGTTCGAGGATAGCCCTCTTTGGGAAGCCACTCTGCTCGCTTGGCAGCCTAATTTGAAATTGTTCAGCCTTGATAACAAAATAAGAAGCACACCAAACCTTAAAGAACATGTCAAAATGTTGGTGTTGTCCAACGTCAGTAACATATATTATCCATTCCACCTTCTCTACGTTCAGCCGATACCTGAATTGAAAGAAAAAAGAAAATGTGGGAAAACAACATGAAACCAAATATCTGGATGCACGTACCACAACGCTGCCAAATCTGTGCTGGCATAATTGAAGCCCCCATCCCGCTTGATTGCAATAAGCGGTATCTTGTGCCCATCAACGAAAATAACTGTTGCGCCATCGCTTTCTTCCAGAATTCCCTTGTCACGGAGAATTTGAATCGCATCGGGAATGTAAGGGTTGTAGAAACTCTCGCCCTGTGCCAAGAAGTTTAACGTTGCCGCACAAAACTCAAAAGGTTCAAACCTTTTCCTCCAGGGAAACTTTCAATCTGTCATAGACTTGCTGGAACTCGTTCCTGCTAATGTTGCAAAGTATCTTCCACGCAGCACGATACTTGGCATCACCACTCTGAAGACGTGGGCAACGTCAAAAACAATCAAATGAAGCGTGCATATTCTACCTGCAGCTTGACCACGGCTTGCTGTGCCTTCGCCTTAAACTCCTCGTCAGCGTCGAATCTCACTTTAGATTCCTTGTAGAACGCCTGCGAAGCACAGTATCAAACAATGTGCTGGTATAAACTAAGGAAAAAACCTGTAAATCTCCAATTGCTTGATCTCCAATGTCCTCCCAATTCGGAAACATTTCAAAGAGGTATTCTATCAGCATTCCAAACTACATACACAAAAACGTATAAATACTTTAGTCACAACAACAAATACCAGAACACAGTACCTGAGTTCCCCAGTCACCAACATGATTTCGCCGAAGAACCTCTACTTTGCAGTACTCGATCATGTTTGCAAGGCAATCTCCAATGATCGTCGAGCGCAGATGCCCAACATGCATCTCTTTTGCTATGTTCGGTGACGAGAAATCCACGATCGCTCTTTTCACAGGCAACACTGGTGCCCAAGTATCAATCCCATGAAGCAACAGCTCGTTCAATCTCTACAAAAGCACAGTTAACAAAAAAAGATAATGAACACTGTCTTACCTTCGCAATGTAGACAGATGAGAGCTTGACATTTATGAAACCAGGTCCAGCGACGCTAGTTGTCTCCACAAATCCAGTTTGAGGGAAGTTTCTCGTAATGCTCTGAAAAGATTAAACGCAAAGCATGAATGACAGCCGAAGGAACGCGTCACAAGATGGTCACCTGAGCAATCTCTCTTGGATTCCTAAACTCCGTTTCTTTGCCTTTGATGGTGGACCATATCCCCATTGCGTTGTTGCTGTAATGAAATTCTTAAGAAAGAGAAAGAAAAGAAAGCTCGATCATTACATTTGGTAGTCTCCAAAGTTTGGATTCGCACACACGGCGACGGCAGGCTCCACGTTTCCCCATTCCCCAAGAGTAGTCTGAAAAGACTCCCTTGCTATCTTTGAGAGCTCCTGCCTGATAGTGTCGAATCTAATCTCCTGTAAGACAAAAATTGATGGAGTGCACCGTAAGAAATCACAAGACGCAGCAAAGCCAATTTACCAGCGCTGGAGCAGCCGCATTGTCCTGCATGGCGCCGAGGCAGCACCTAAATCTCCGCTGCAAGAGCACGACGCATTAGTCACGATGAGCCCTAGAGCACAGCGGCTAGAAAATCCACAGCGAAATCCTACACTCCCTGCAAATCCCTCACGATCGGGGCTTACATGCGACCTCGAATTTGTGAATCTTGGTGCCGCTGCCGCTCCCGCCCGCCAAGGCACCCAGGAATGGCCGCTCCAACACGCAACAAGAAGGTCTCATCGCTTCCAGGGTTTAGGGCTCTTAAGTGGCGCTACCGTACACCGATGTTTTGGGCCAGGGTTTTACAATATCGTACACGCACCGAAGTTCGTACAAATTCGTACAAGTTTCAAATGCAATCTTTTACACACACAGACACACACACACTGGATCTAAGCGACAATGGAGCCCAACCGATCTAACCCTAAACTAGAGAACGATCACGATTGCGCAACCCAAGGCGCCCAATGCGCCCCAAATCGCGGTGGAGCTCAGCCGATTGGCTAGAGATGGAGGGCTGTCCACGTTCTCATCGTCCGTGGAGGAGGAATCCTCGTCGGTGGAGACTGGGGGCGGCGGGGCTTTGGCCGCCACGGCAGGCGCGAGCGCCCCGTCAGGAACCACCGGCCTATCCTCAGCCTCCACGACACCATCCGGAGCCACGTAGTTGCTGACCTGGACAATGCTGAGGTCGAATCCAATGGTCCTGACGGCCTTTGTGATGGTCGTGTTGGAGCCACCGGCGGTCACGATTTCGAGCCCACTGCCCTTCTTGGTCCGCGTGAGATTGGCGATGCCTTGGTCGGAGATGGCAGTCCCGGCGGCCTGGTACATGGAGCTCACTTGCTGGCTGCCGTTGATGCTCCGCGCGGTGTGAGGGTTGGATGGATCGATGAATGTGAGGAGAATCAGCGGGCGGATGAAGGCCGCCACGCGCTTGATGTCCGTCGAGCCATTGCCCAAGGTCGCCTTCAAGCTCTTCATCTGCGAATTCGTGAGGACGCACACCGTGATGGATCGCCGCGCGTTGATGCTGCGCGCGAGGCCGGATTCCGTGAGCGCATCGTTGAATTCCGAGAAATTGGGGTGACCCTCGAGCTCCTTCGTGATGTTGAACGTTTTCGCCGCTGCCCTAGTGGCGTAGATCGAAATCCAGGCGGCGAGAGCGGCGAGGAGAAGGGAATGGATCCTCATCGCACAGCGCTACACTCAATGCGGGTAGACTTCGCCCCCTTCTCGCCTCTCCCCAAAGTATTCCCCCTTTTTCAAAGTTTAAATATTCCCAAGGCTGATAAGAATATGCGTCAGAGATCGACGGCTTGATTTGAAATGGACGGCTGGCGATTGGCGGGCTGTTGGGAGGTCAAGCTGCCATCACTGTAGTCGTTGGTTGCGCGATGTCTATCGCTACCTTGACATATTATCAAATTTACTTTGTCCTCCAAGCCAAGGTCTAAGGTAAGTTTGATCGCGAGTACCATCAAAGGTTCCAGCTACCAAATATTCTTACTCTAGAAGAATTAGGTCTACACCGGGTTTAGGGTTTATCGTGTCATTCATGAGGAAATGCTGCTGCGATGGAGGGCCGCGGCGAGGCTTGGAGTGCTAAATCGCCGGAGTTTCTGCCTCAATCCAGGTGAAATTCGTCTCTAGGATCGCGATCTTGCTTTTTCTTACACACATTTCCGGCCAGGAAGCAAGCCGGAAGGTCCGAAATCGACCGCGCATGGCGTTCCTGATTCTCAGAAACACAATGCGGAGGATCATGAAGCAAAAGAACCGTGTGGAGATGGGGAGTCGCAGATTGATGGCTTTGAGAAGCTCAAAAATTGGAATTTGATGTCGCGGCTCGTCGAGGCCATCAGGGCCGGGCAGAATGACAAGGCAATGGAGCTCCTTCCGGATCTAAGTAAGTATGAGATGCTGACTGCTACAAGCTGTAACGAGTTTCTCTATCAGTGCTCCCTGGCTGGAAACTTTCAGGTAAGTTTGTCATCTCTTGATCCTGGGATCACTCACAGAGACAAGTCTCTCCAGCTAGCGAGGCAGATAATTAGATTCATGAAAGAGCTTGGCATGGAAACCAACGAGCGGTGCGACACTCATCTTCTTGGTGCTATGAGCCGTGCTGGAAATCTGGACGAGGTATCAAAAGCTTCATTAATGCCTGGAAGGTCATTACACTGTTCTCATGGTCCTCTCAGGCCATGGAAATGCTGGAATCTGCGACTGGGGGTGATGGTGTGGATTACGTCTTCATGTTTAACAGTGTGTTGAACGGTTGCGCATCCGCTGGCAGCAGCATTCATGCAGATAAGTGTCTCAAGTTGATGACCAGTAGAAAGGTGGAGAAAAATCAACAGACTTACATTGAACTTCTCAGGGTAAGTCGAGATAGATTTTGGCTTAATTTCGACCGCTGTAACTCTTTTCGCAGCTTGCAGGAAAAAAGCAAGATCTTAGTTTGACAAAGAGCTTGTGGATCGAGCTGAAAAGTATTTATTCCCCTTCGTTTAACTCTTATCGCACTTACATCATATCGCTTTGCCGGGGAAGTGATCTTGGTGAGGCACTAATCATTTTGCAAGAGATGCTGGATCATATTGCTGAAGAAATGAAGCTTTCCGAAAGTATTCCTCCGGCGGTTACTGAGGTTTTCAACGCAATCATCAGCACAGCAGGCAAAACGGGTCAGTATCAACTAGCAGAGATGATGTTTTCGGAGGTAAGGTAATGCAAATTTGGTTTCGATACTCCATATTAATTATTTGATTACTACAGATGAATCGGATGGAAATACCTGTAACGATCGTCACTTACGACGCTGTCATTCGAGCTGTTGTAAAAGGGAGAGGTGTAGAATATGGACTTAAGCTTGTAAGCAGCAGTTCTGAATTTCCTGAATCGTTATGACATTGTCCCTGCATTTTACCAGGTTCAGAACATGGAGTCCAGAGGAATAGAACCTGATAGTGCAATCTATGGTGCTATCGTGGAATGCTACTGCAGAAACTCAGAGCTAGATAAAGCTGAGAACCTGTTGGAACAAATGCTGAAAGCCAAGCCTAGTCAACGGCCCACTGCTCATGCGTTCAACTTCATTTTTCAGGCGTGCTCACTGACGGTATGAAAGATACTAGGAGTACTCTGACCTTACTTTTTCTCTAACAGAATGAACAAGATCGTGCCCTGCGTGTACTGAGAACAATGAAAACCGCGCGTGTACCTCCGGACATCTGCACGTACACGGCCCTTTTTTGCAATTTTGGTAGCGTTAGCGTCCCATATGCAGGGGGTGATCAGTCGTCTCACGAGGACTTGACTAGCAGACTGGGAGCGCTTGAAGCAGATATGCTGGCCTCTGGCATTCAGCATTCACGTCAGTCTCTGACGGCTCTGGTATGTAAAACCTTATGTTCATAGCGGCTAATTGGTTCCTTCTTTTCATCCTTCAACTAGATGCGAGGATTAGGATCAGAAGGAATGCTTGGTCCTGCTCTCAAGCGGCTATTAAACGCAGAAGCTTTCTCTGCAGAGGATGGAGCTCCATTCTTGGACGCTTTTGCATACAATACTGCAATGTACTCATGCATTATGTTCGACCAGGTTTGCACGTCCCATCTTTAGAGTTTGGCTGCTCTATACGTCGGTCTAACCCTTCACAGTTTTCAGAAGCCAAGGAACTCTTTACCAGGATGTCTGCAAAGAATCTCAAGCCAAATCTTCACTCGTACAACATTATGATCTATGGATGCCTGCGGTCTAAAGATGTAACTTATGCCAACGAGCTTTTAAAGCGGCTACAAGACAACGGCCTTAGTCCGGATTCGGTTACATACAATTCGCTCATCAAGGTCAGCAGCCAACCTGTTTAGTTTTTCCTTCTATTCTATTCTGATTCGGCTGATACATCCAGGTTCTTTGTGCTGCAAACGAGCTAGAATCGGCACTGGAAGTTATCCAGACAATGGATAGAACGGGCATAGAGGCGGATATCTACTCGTTTAACACAATCATAGGTGCTGCGGCAGTCCGGGTGAGCTATCTTGCCTTTCGTTTGCGGGTTTACCTTTTCTAGTCTAAATTCTCTTCTCAGGGTCGTATCGACATGATCGAGTTCTTGATAGACGACATGAAAGACCGCAACATCCCTCCAAACTCCTACACCATTCTCAAAGTCATGATCACGTACATATACCTCAAGAGGCTGGACGACGCGATCGAAGCCGTGCGAACGCTGAGCTCCCGAATGCTAGAGGGCGCCAGCAGCAGCGGCAAGAGCACGATCCAGAGCGCGGTGGAGGTGTTGATGCAAGACAACAGCGAGCTCGTGTCGGAGATGACCGAATCTCTGGGCAAAACCATCGAGGAAACCGGGGATCCGGAAGCTCAGGCCCTCTACACTTTAAATCTAGCGAGCCTTGCCGCTGGGACAGACGAGAAGTGGGCGAGCGAGAAGAACTCCTAACACTCGTCTCGCGCGTAAAGTTTTAATGTTTTAAATTCAAATTCAAAAACTTCCCGCCATTTCTCTAAAAATAAAATTGTTGAGTGGTGTCAGCCCTAATGCCTATGGATGGGCGCCAGGAGCAATGCGCTCTCGCCTGGGCTGGATCATGTATGGCAACGGCGCTGCCGCCTACTTCCTCGATCGATAACAGCAGCGCCGAGCTATCGACATCAGCTCCTCCAGGTGAGGGTAACAGCGATCGCCTTAAGAAATCGGCCCTTAGGTCGGGGCCGAGCCCGATCGCGCAGTAGCTTTCCAGCGCGCGAAATCCCTGAAATATGGCATTACTGCGCTCCGATCAACCTTCCGTCCCGGGACATCGATCGCCATGGCGAGAATGACGCGGCGAGGGGCTGGAAGGCATCGTGGAAGAACGGGGTCAGAGTTACGAGGCCGACGAAGAGAATGGGAATGGGGATCCATATCTCGGGATTGGCACAAAGCCGGCAGCTCCACCGCTGCCCTTGCTCATGGATTCCGGGCACTTTAGGGAGATCTCCGAGGCCGAGTTTCCAAGCTCTTTCGATTGCTCCTGGTCATTGGAATCCTCTCCGTGGCTGCTGGGCTCGTTTACTACTTGGTCCTCTTGGATTTCCAGCTCTACCACCATCCTCGCCCGGCCGTCCAGTTCATGGAGATGATGTATGGACAGGTGATCCCAGTGGATCCAGAGCTTGTGGAGCAGCAGCAGCTAGAAGGGAAAGGAAACCACTACGCTTACACGCTGAGGTTCGTCATGTTTTGCATCCTCAACACCACCAATCCAAGCAAGAGCGTGGATTTCTACCATGCGGATCTCGAGATACCGAGGTGAGGTCTGCCTACTGGCTATGCGATTGTGGAGGACGTTTTTCACCCGCGGTCTTCTTGGATTCAGCCCGAGTTTTTCATAGGTTCTATGGGTGTGCCTTTGCCTCTGTGGGAGATCCGGATCCGGAGATCCACAACTACGACTTTAAGGTACCCGAGAGTGTTTTTTTTTTCTTTCTTTCTTATTTTTTTGTTGTGTTTTGGTTCTTACTCGGTGTGTTTGATCCAGATGCAGGTGGAGGTGATCACACATTCGACCATAGTTCGAACGGCTGGGTTGAAATCTCAGCGCTTTCGTATCTATCAAATGCCGACAGGCAAGCTTTTGCAAGATTGCAAGTACGCGAGTGCTGATGAATGGTATTCCAGAGATGCGGAGCTCAAGCTAGACTGAAAGTCTGGATTCGAGGAGCCGTACAAACATTTCAGAGGTAGAGTTTAAATTCTCTCTCTCTCTCTCTCTCTCTCCCCTGTTTGTTTTTGCGATGCCATTTTGTCTTGAGCCAAGGATCCTCATTTGCATTGTATATCCTTTGCCAACTTGCAAAGAGTCTTCAGTTTCATGCAATGCACGTTTATTTGTCCCAGCCATAAGATCGACAGTAGTGCGACCGCATGAGTCTCGTGGGATGCTGTAACTGCTGTAATAACCCTTCGTTTTAACGAGATAAGCCACTCTCTAAGAATGTCTCCTCGCCTCTTGGTCTCGCTTTCGTTTCTCCTACTGCTTGCTGCAAATGCAAATGCCGCCAGTGATAGTAATCTGGATGGTGATGCACGCATCAGAATGTTTGGCCACGTTGGCTCTGATCCTCCCAAATCCATCGACTGGAGAACTTTGGGAGCCGTCACACTGTGAAAGATCGTAAAGGATGCCAGATTGTTTACTTGCCATGCCAGTTCTTAGCCAGCCTCGTGCATTGTCTATCCTTGACTCATTCTCAGTAGCAAATCTGTTCACGTCAACCAACACTGTTCACCCGCATGAGTCTCGTGGGGTGTTGTGACCTGCTAATATAACCCTTCGTTCTCTCGAGATAAGAAACACCCTAAGAATGTCTCTGCATCCCTTGGTCTCGCTTTCCATCCTCCTATTACTGCTTGCTGCAAATGCAAATGCCGCAAGTGATACTAATCCGAATGGTAATGCAGGCATCAGAATGTTTGGCGACGTTGGCTCTGATCCCCCCAAGTCCATGGACTGGAGACGTTTGGGGGCCGTCACACCTGTGAAAGATCGCAAAGGATGCCAGAGTATAAATCTTTAATCCTTTTTTCGCACTTTAGTGGTATATCACGATACAGATGGTAGCTGGGCTTTTGCGGCGGCAGAAGCCATCGAGGGAATCAACAAGATTGCGACTGGAGTGTTGGTGGAGCTGTCGGCGCAGCAGCTGCTGGATTGCTCCCGCAGCTACGGCAGCGATGGCTGCCACAGCGGGTTTCCCCAGAACGCATTTGCATATCTTGACGACACAAGGAATGGCCTCTCCACCGCATCAGATTACCGCTTCACAGGATTCAATGGCACCTGCCGAAAACACGTAAGTGCGTGCGTGCTCTTGTGTTTCCATTGTTTTTCACTAAAGTTGTGCTCTTCCAGAACCGCTACTCCGTAAGCATTGACAATTACGACAATTTCTACGGCTCCAGCGACGACACTGAGATCGTCAAGCAGGTTGCCAAGCAGCCAGTGACAGCTCTCATCGATGGCAACGCGCCGGAGTTCCTTCGCTACAAAGGGGTATGAGAAAAATCATTCGTTTTTGAAGGAAAACTCGCTCAAGCCCAAAGTTCTAAAAATGCAGGGGATTTACAAGGGCCCGTGCAAAGACGACCAGGCAACTCCGTATCTAGCAGTGCTCATCGTCGGCTATGGATCCGAAAACGGCCAAGACTATTGGATCATCAAAAACTCGGCGGGGACAAGCTGGGGAGAGAAAGGCTACATGAGGCTGCAGCGTGGAAACCATGGCCTTCCACTGGGTCGATGTGGAGTAAATGGCTCCGTCTACTTTCCTGTCAAAAAGAAGGTACGACCATCTCCATAGCCACCACCACCACCGTCATCTTTGCCGCCACCCTCTCCTCGACCTTCCGTGGGTTAGCTGCAGTTTTATTTTGCCGTTCCACACTTCGCGTTAAAATGAGCTACTCTCTTTAAACATGACTAAATTCCCTTAGATGTCACGAATTCCAAACTTCAAACTTGTTTAAAAGAAACTCAAATTAGCGTTCATTTGATCCCATCCCACCATGGACTTGCATAGCATTTGGTGAAATACGTCGTTAAAAGTTTGCCTCCAGACCAACGACTGAATAATGGTTTTAACGTCCAAATTTATAGAGGTTGTTGTGTAAGCATGTGCCCTTAAGCCACCAGACTTGCAGAGAAAACTTCCATGGTTTTAAACTTTGCATGTCAGCATCTCTTTTGGAATTGGTACAACTATGACAATATCTACAGCTCCAGCAATGACATGGACATCCTCAGGCCGTAACAGATGAATTTAACTAACAAAGGGGTATGAGAAAAATCATTCTTTTCTTCTTTTGTGAAGGAGACCCTAAAAATGCAAGGCCCGTGCAAAGACGACCAGGCAAGTCTATATCTAGCAGTGCTCATCGTCGGCTATAGATCCAACAACAGCGAATACATGAGGTTGCAGCATGGAGCCCATTGCCTCCCACTGGTTCGATGCAGGGTGAACGCCATTGTCTACTTCCCATCAGAGAACCATCTGCATGATCGTCTCCACCACCACCGCCATCTCCACCGCCGCCCTCTCCTCGACTATCTCTCTCCGCCATCACCCCCAGTTCCGTGCTACAAGAGGATTAGCTGCAGCTTTGTTTCGTCCCGGCCCCTGGTGGAACAAATAAATGTACTGCATATGGATGCTCTCCTTAAACATGTATGTATTTTTCTGTCATATCTTTTAAACATGTTTAAAAGCTAGTCACTCTCCTCATCACCAAAGTTTTCCTCATTCTCCTCATCACCAAAGTTTTTCTCAATCAGCGATTTGGGGTGAGTTCTGCAGCACGTATCTATCACAAACTGGGCTTCAATTACCATATCCTTTTTCAAGAGTTTATTAGCCAGAAGCTTGCATGTCTTTTCATTTGGCTCCACCAGGTTACAGAAGGCCTCGAACTGGAACATCAAACGAGCAACTTCGGGATTCTTCTCGGTGCAAAGAATCTCCTCCAAAACCCGAGGGAAGCCCTGACTTGTTGCTCTTGTTGCGAGCTCAAACACCACACCGGCACTGGAGTTGTGATCGTCTAAACTCTTGGCTAGTGCCTCGTCGTTTAGCTTAATCAGCCCCTTCTTTAAGTTTGTGACGAGAAAATGCTTCCCCAGCCTTTCCTGGAGATCAAAATACAAATGCTTCTTGACCAGCTTGGGTGTAACATCCAGTGCCATTCCCATGCAGATGGCTTCTCTGATGATAGACGTGACAACATCAGCGTCCTGGGATTTGTTCAGCATGATCTGATAAGCTTGCACTGGCTCCTCGACAATCTCAAGTACTAGACCCATTATCTTCCTCCAATCATCATCACTATAACCACTGCTACTTTCTAAGAGGTTTGAGCTTACCACCAGCTTGACGCCCTTGGCCCTGGCCTCCTTTGCAACCAAGTGTTTGAAACTTAGCTTGTGCGAGGAATCGAAAACTTTCTGGTAGACACTTAGCTCTGCTGTTATACAAGGATGCTCATTGATCATCTCTCGAAACAGCCTCTCCAAATCCTCAGGAGCAAAGTGCAAATGGACCAGATTCTCAAACACCAGAATCTCCCTCCTCAGATTCAGTTTCCTCATCTTTTCCATGGCAGAGGACACCTTGTGCTTCAGCACTCCAGTGTATTCCCTGTGATTATATTGGTGCGGGTGCGCAAGAACTCTTGTAAACGTCTCCTGGTCGCAAGTTTCGTCCAGCATGTCTAGAGCCAGCATCATAAAACCGCCATCAAGAACCCTCTGCACCATCCTGCTGTGACATCTCTTGTTGGTCACCTTGTGGAATCCCCATGCATGCAGTGGCATTGCCCTATCCAAAATCACGTTGATTACCTCGTCCGGGAAGAGCTCCTCGAATTCTAAGTAGAGTTTGCCAAGCGCACTGCAGAAATCCGTGTCCAGCTCCTGATTCTCTATCACCACAGCCAAGACCTCCCTCGCCCTCATCCCTTTTGGAACTTTTAGTAATAGGTATGGATATTAGCCAAGGTAACTTTTCCAAAGGCCATATCGATATCCGGGTGACAGTGATCAATCCCGCCATGGCGATTGTAAAGCTACTGAGATCATCGTGGAAGAACAGGGTGGGTTACGAGGACAATTTGGGATCCATATCTCGGGATTGGCACATGCACAGCCGCCAGCACCGCTGCCCCTGGAGCTCGTCTTCCAGCTCATGGGCGGATTCAGCCCAAGTTTTTCATTTTTCATACACGCTGGATCCAGATTCACAACTACGACTTTAAGGTTCTCGAGAGAGTTTTCTTGTTTTGGTTCTTACTCGGTGTTTCCATTCAGATGGAGGTGGAGGTGATCACACATTTGACCATGTTCCGTACGGCTGGGTTGAAATCTCAGCGCTTTCGTGTAAGATTCGATGTCTTCTCTATTGCGAGGCTGCAAACGCGGAGTTCTGATAAATGATATTCCAGAGATGCGAGTTGGCGAAATATTCAAGCTGTGGATTGGACGAGCCGCCAATATTCATTCAAGCACTTCAGAGGTTCCCAATTGTTTACTTGCCATGCCATTTCTAAGCCAGCCTCGTGCGTTGTCTATCCTTGACTTCATTCTCAGTAGTAAATCTGTTCAAGTCAACCAAGTCTCTATCAATGTGTTAGTGTGATGGACAGTGTGTTCACCCGCATGAGTCTCGTGGGGTGTTGTGACCTGCTATATAACCCTTCGTTCTCTCGAGATAAGAAACTCCCTAAGAATGTCTCTGCATCCCTTGGTCTCGATTTCCATCCTCCTATTACTGCTTGCTGCAGATCCAAATGCCGCAAGTGATACTAATCCGAATGGTAATGCAGGCATCAGAATGTTTGGCGACGTTGGCTCTGGTCCCCCCAAGTCCATGGACTGGAGACGTTTGGGGGCCGTCACACCTGTGAAAGATCGCAAAGGATGCCAGAGTATAAATCTTTAATCCTTTTTTCGCACTTTAGTGGTATATCACGATACAGATGGTAGCTGGGCTTTTGCGGCGGCAGAAGCCATCGAGGGAATCAACAAGATTGCGACTGGAGTGTTGGTGGAGCTGTCGGCGCAGCAGCTGCTGGATTGCTCCCGGAGCTACGGCACCGATGGCTGCCACAGCGGGTTTCCCCAGAACGCATTTGAATACCTCGTCGACACAGGGAATGGCCTCTCCACCGCATCGGATTACCGCTTCACAGGATTCAATGGCACCTGCCGAAAACACGTAAGTGCGTGCGTGCTCTTGTGTTTCCATTGTTTTTTACTAAAAGTTGTGCTCTTCCAGAACCGCAACTCCGTAGGCATTGACAATTACGACAATTTCTACAGCTCCAGCGACGACACTGAGATCGTCAAGCAGGTTGCCAAGCAGCCAGTGACAGCTCTAATCGATGGCAATGCGCCGGAGTTCCTTCGCTACAAAGGGGTATGAGAAAAATCATTCTTTTTTGAAGGAAAACTCGCTCAAGCCCAAAGTTCTAAAAATGCAGGGGATTTACAAGGGCCCGTGCAAAGACGACCAGGCAACTCCGTATCTAGCAGTGCTCATCGTCGGCTATGGATCCGAAAACGGCCAAGACTATTGGATCATCAAAAACTCGGCGGGGACAAGCTGGGGAGAGAAAGGCTACATGAGGCTGCAGCGTGGAAACCATGGCCTTCCACTGGGTCGATGTGGAGTAAATGGCTTCGTCTACTTTCCTGTCAAAGCGAAGGTACCGTCTCCGCCATCTCCACCACCACCATCTCCGCCCCCGCCGCCACGACCGCGACCATCTCCACCGCCATCACCCCCAGTTCCGTGCTACAAGAGAATTCACTGCGGCTTCACAGGCATTCCGTGTTGCTTTTCCTGGAAAGCCGTTTGCTGCCCCATGTGGAAGCGATGTACTTTCTCTGGATGCGCTTAGGATTTGTTTTAGATTGATTTTTATGTTTTGAATTGTCTCTTGGTTCTTGGGCTTAAGCACTTTAGGGAAAAGAAGGATTCCATTCTTAGGATCATCCCACAGCGTCGTTCCTCCAATTTAAGTCTTCCCACTCTTCCGCTCTCTGCTTAAGACGAAGTTTGAGTTTCTTTTCAGTTGGATCAAGCACCACTCCCTTCTCACAAGCTTTTCTAACAATGGAGACAACGTCATGTAAGTTTTGAGCACTGTTCAACGCCAACTTATAAGCTGTTGCTGGTTCCTCAACCATGTCCAGTACCAAACTCATATCATCAGATGCTCTCAAATGCAGATTGCTCAAACTTTTTGAGTCCAGCTCCACGCCTTTAGCTCTTGCCTCCTTGAAGACCGAGTGAGCGGATGGCGAACTGTCAAAAACCTTTTGGTAAACCTCTGGTTTTGCAGCAAGATTAGGATGTTCGTTCACCATTTCAAGGAAGATATGCCCTGGTTCTGAATAGAGGAGCAAATAATCCTCAAACAGGACCATCTCACGCTTGTATCCTAGACTCTTCATCGTGTCCATTTTCTGCGCTAGTTTCTCCGTCCACCATCCAGGTTTATCAGCTATGCATTCCAGGATCACACTTGTGAAGGTCTCTTGATCACACTTCTCGTTCAGCAAATCTAGAGCCACAGCTAGAAACCCTTCGTCAAGAATCCTCTTAATCATCTTGCCATGGCACCTCGTTCCCGTGAGATTGTGAAAATGCCATGCTTTGAGTGGCATGGCCTTATCAAGAATTAAATCGATCAGCCCATCCAAGAATACCTCCTTGTGCACTGAGCTCGCCAAACTTGTCAAGGAGCTCCCTGTCTAAATTCACGTTCTCCAGAACGACGCCCAACAAGCATCGTAGAACCCTAGAAAAACTTATCTCTATGAAATTTTTACATTGTTCCCAAGAATCTTAGCAATCATGTTACCATGTCGTAAAGCCACAAAAGTCTGATGTTTGCGCTTGGAAGCATGCAAAGAGCCAAGCTTTGTTTTGTTTACGTTCATTCCGATTAATCAATCCTTTGTTCCTTGGGAGTAGCATATTAATGCAAGCAAAGGCGTGGGATATTCTTTTACCCGGTCGCCAACGGTCGTAACATGCACCACGTTCGTTCGTTACGAACCGAATCAAAGGGGGGATGGATTTTGACCAATTTTGCTCGAGTGATCACTGCAATGTAACAGAGGGGGAGCTCAATTCGCTCTCCCACGCTTTTAAATCACTCCCATTCAAAAGTATTTTTTAAGGAAATGGCGATCACTCCTCCTTGACAATTCGTCCCCTGCATTGAGCCGCAAAGCTTTGCTCAGAGAAACGTTTTCCTCTTTTATCTCATTGGCTTCGTTCTGTTCGGAGTCCAGGAGGAAGAAACACCAAAGATCTTAAAAAACTGTGAAACGAGCTCACACACGTTAGTCTGTGTCGGTTTTCTGGCCTGCATTGTGGAAACTGTTTGGGCCGTTTTGCTGCCAGATCCTAGAACACATGACTTATATAAGTTCCCTCAAGAGCAAACCTGTAACATTTCTTAACAAGCCCTTGCCTGGTAAAACAGTGAAAGACTCCAAGTTCTTCCACTCCCTCCTTGAGATTCTTGCGTTTCCAAGACAATGCACTTAGCTAGATCAAGATCATCACAGTCACGAGCACAGGTTGCTCTACTTCTTCTGATAGTCTCGACTCTTAGAAGCTCAGTAGCTAGTTCTAGTCTAGCTCAAAGTAGCAACTTCGACTCAGAGAAGATCAGCCCACGACCGATCGGGGGAGGATTCGTGACACGAAGCGGCACGCGATTCACTCTCGACGGCCGCTTGTTCTACGTCAATGGCTTCAACGCCTACTGGATGACCCGAGTGGCCTGCGAGTCGAGAGATCAAGTCAGCGGCTTCCTCCGGCAAGCCTCGAGTCTGGGCCTCACCGTGGCACGAACTTGGGCTTTCAATGACGGTGGCTACAACGCCATCCAGCTCCGCCCCGGAGTTTACAGCGAGCAATCGCTTCAGGTGAAACAACAAAACTCTTTGTCTTTGCTCATTGTCATATCTTAGTTCTTTGTTTAGAGATGTATAAACTCACACTTTGTTTTTGTGATCTTGTCTGGACTTTGAAGGCGCTCGACTTTGTCATCGCTGAAGCGAGGAGTCAGGGTGTGAGGCTGCTGCTAAGCTTGAGCGACAACTACGATTCGCTGGGAGGGAAGAGCCAGTACGTGAAATGGGCTCGGCAAGCAGGCATTGCTTGCAGCTCCGACGATGCGTTCTTCAGCGAGCCCACCATCAAATCTTACTTTCGGAACTACATCCAGGTCAGTAGCTCGATCGAAAAGTTATGTTTTTTTTCTTTGCGAGGAGGGAGATCTTTGTAAACTTCTCCCATCAAGGAAATAGCTTTCAAGCTCTACTTCTTTCTTGGTGGGAGAAGTTTGGGAAGAACTCAAGAGTGATAGAGATTAGGAACCGCTTGAAAAGCCAAAGCCACATAGTCAATCTTATTTTGAGATTGATTATACAGTGAAGTTTGTCTTTAAACTTAAGACCTCTGTTTCATCTTGACTCGAGGGTCACGGGGATTCCATAGAAAAATGAAAGCTTTCTTTCATTGGAAGTAAAATGGAAGAACATAACAAGATTGCTCAAAATCCTCTATTTTCTTTTGCAGACAGTGGTGACGAGAGTGAACACCATCACCAAGATCGCGTACCGCGACGACCCAACAATCTTTGCATGGGAGCTCATGAACGAGCCAAGAATCCCCAGCGATCCATCCGGCAACACCCTCGAGGCAAGCATCTATAACTCTCTCGATCACTAAAAAACACTTTTTTTCCAGGCCTGGATCAAAGAGATGTCATCCTTTATCAAATCTCTCGACGTTAACCACCTCGTCGACGTTGGAATGGAAGGCTTTTACAAAGATCCCGCAAGAACAAGCCCTGGAAGCTGGAGTAGCAATCTGGGCAGTGATTTCCTGCGGCACAACCAAATCCCCAGCATCGATTTTGCCACTGTCCACAGCTATCCCGATCTCTGGTATGACAAAAATCCCACCTTGATCAAGTGAGAGTGACGATCTTTCTTCTCCCAGGCTTCCGGGAGCGAGCATCGATGCCCAGCTCCAGTTCCTCTCCTCCTGGGTCCAAGAACACATCGACGATGCCACGACGGTGCTCCAAAAGCCCGTGCTCTTCGCGGAGTTTGGCAAATCCGACCGGCTCCCCGGCTATGTCGTGGGGCAGCGCGATCGATTCCTCAGCACACTCTACTCCACTGTCTACGCATCGGCCAGGACCGGCGGCGCCGCGGCGGGATCTCTCGTGTGGCAGCTCTTCGCGGATGGGATGAGCCCCGCCTGGGACGATGGCTTCCAAATCTTCGTCTCACAAAGCCCCTCCACTGCCCAGATCATCGCAGCCCAGTCGAGGAGATTGTCCTCGCTCAATCGATGAGGAGATTCTAGAGATTAGATCGTCCAGCTGCCGGATTTATTCTAGAGGATCCCTTTCTTAGCAAACTAGAGAGAAATTGGAAGAACACTACCTGCATTTTCGCGAGGAAAGAAAGAGCGATCGATTAGATCCCATCGCGCTGGCGGCTGTTCGCGGCGGCGGCGGCGGCGGCGGACTTCTCAGCGGCCTTGTCCCAGGATCGATTGATCGTGTAGAGATACCCCAAGGCGCCCATCCAGCCGATTGCGAGCGCGTAGATTGCCTTCCTGGTGAGAATGACGCGAGGATCCACCATCACCTCCGCGGCAGCCTCGCTCCGGAGCTGCTGGCGCCGGCTCCTCACTTCCTGGAATTTCCTCAGCCCAGCCTCGATCCATTGCTTGGTATCCATAGCCGCGAAGAACCCTAAAATCTCAGCTAGGGTTTATTATTCGCGAAGAGATCTTTCCTATTGTCTGGAAGCGCTCGCGGGCTCGCCGGAGAACATGTGCTTGACACGAGACAAGATGGAGTCTTGCGATGGATCGTAGGGGTGATCCTTGGACGGGATCTCCAGAATCGCGGGTATGGGATTGCTGTAGGCGTCGATCGTGAGGCGAATCATGTTTGCGATCTGCCAAGAACAAGCAAGAGATATGTTGTTGGAGGATTGGATTTGCGAAGAAACTCACGTATTGCGAGATCAAGATGACGGCAATGTCCTCCCTGGTGGTGAAATCCCGGAATGTCTCCTCAATCGTCTTGACAGTCGTCTCTGCGGAGGAAGAGATCACAGATTCTTAGCAAACAAAGGGGAGCTGGGCATTACTGGAATCCACGAGGAGATAGTTCGTCTTGCGGCGCAGATCCACATTCCCTACTCCTGCCAGCAAGAATCCCGTCACGGTGTCCTGGAAAACCCCAAAATCATTCAGCCCGGATTCTCGCCAGTGCCTGCGACGACACACACCTCGTCCGCAATCACAGCAATGAGATTCGCCCCGCGCGAGGATATCTGCGCTGCCACCGTCGCCATGGAACAAACGAAGAACCCTAAATTGGAGACTAGATTTTGTTCCCTTATGCCGGGTTTCGAACCCCCGACCAGCTTCAAATTTAAAATCTTTGCTTTCGCGCGTCTCCTTAGAACTCCTCGTCTCCCAGCGTTGGGCGCGTAACCGGGACCGCCCATCGCCCGAGATGGGCCGTGTAGTTCCAGCAGCGAACCACGCCCTTGCCGGAGTATCCATCGGGAAAATCGATCACGCACACTCCAGCGGTGTCCAATCGAAAGGATCCGAGGAAGGCCTGCGAGAGATCGAGGCAGTGGGCGAGCAAAGCCGTGAGAACCGTCTCGTGAGCCACCACCACAGCCGTGCTGTTTTCTGTGCCTTCCAGATCCTTGAGGCTGAGCGTGAGTTTCTTCCAGGCGTTTCCAGCTCGCTCCCACAGGTGTGACAAGCTTTCGGCTCCCTCGACGGTCTCGTGCTGGAGAAAGTCCTGCCATCGTTCATGATGGGCGACTTCTTCTTTCAGTTTCCCCTGGAATGTCCCATGAGAAAATACACAGTTTAAGACAAAGAGTGAGTCGAGAATGGGAAAAACTTGCCTGCCAAGCTCCCCAATTCATGTCGTCTAATTCAGGTAGTGTTTGAACCTCTACGTATCTGGGAACGCAGTCAGCTCCCAGACAATCAGCAGCCTCTTGAACCTGCGAGAAAAAGGAAAAAAAAAAAGAAAACGTTTAGCTTGAAAAAGAATTTCAGAGCATATGAAAGAAACCTCGGCGATTGAAGCTGCCGTGCTCACAGAGCAAGGTTGCGGACCGGAAAAAATGTTTCCTGCTCTAACATCAAGCAGTAATTCTGCTGTCTTACGTGACTGTCAAACAGTGCATCCTATCAATACATGAGCTTGTGTAAAAAACTACCAAACCTGAATAACTCCCAGCATGTTCATGGTTTCCTTGTCCGAGGATGGAAATCGCTTCTGCAAGCACAAAAATATTCGATCAAGTCTAGTACTAGAAGACATACGCAATGCAATTTTCGCATCTATTAGCATCACTTTTCAAACACAAGCGCTTACCGCAGTCTCTCAACTTTTTAATCCCATGTCACATATCCTCGCAGCTTAATTTTTTCTGTCAAGTTTTGCAGAGACGAACACAATCACGAACAACAAATAAAACGCACGCATGATTCTCAAGTCTGTTACCTGAACAGTACTTTCAGTAGCTCCGTGGCAAACAAGAACAAGGCAGCACCGTGCTTTTCTTCCTCCACCCGCAGCAACTGGTGGACTTGGAGTCTATTACAGAACTGGAATCAGCAAAAGAAAATAGAAGCAACTATAGAATATACCTGATTAAGTCTGTCGAGACAAGTGTATGGAGGCCCATCACCACTAAAACGTGGTGTAAAATCAAGCACGGTCACTCCACAGTTGCTCTGCAAAAGTTGTCTAAAGTAATGTGGTCCCAATCCTGTCAATCACCACATAAAAGGTGAGAGAAAGAAAAAAGAAAAAAGGAGCTCCTGGTATACCAGCGGCAGTGGCAACAAGTGCCTGGTTCACAGCATTGTGAGCCACCACAAGAATTGAAGAGCCTTGGGAGCTTAAAATCCTGCTCCAACAATTCTGTGCCCGGACCCAAAGTTCTCGGACTGGAAAGTGACCATCAATGACAAAGTTGGGAGCATCGATTTGCCATTTCCTATATGCATCACCATAACGCTGTTTTCCTTCATTCTTCATTAGACCCTGCAAAGGAGAAAGAATGATAGGAACATCGACCAAACAGAATATTTTTTCACGCACCTGAAAAGCATAGAGATCAATCTCACGAAGGTCATCCACTGACAACATTGGACGTGGTCTCGCAGCCCATATTATCTCCGCTGTTCGTTTGGCCCTTGCGAGTGGGCTGCAAAGAGGAAAAGAAAAGTATGAAATTGTGATCGCCTGATCATGGAGAAACGAAACGAAATTCCTACAATGTAAGAAAAGAATGAGAAGAACCTGTGAAAGCAGGCATCAAAGGAGTCCCCAATCAACATCTGCCTGGAAGTCTCGGCTTGAATCTCACCTTTGGGCGTGAGAACAGCGAAATCGGAGCTGCCTTGGATGCGTCCTACCTCATTCCACGTACTCTGGCCATGGCGGACAAGAACAACACGCTTGGGAGCTTGAATCGATGGCAGCGCCTCGTATTCCGCCAGATTGAGCCCGAAATCCCCCACTGGGGACGTCGAAGTCTTGATCCCACCCCCGCCTCCACTGCTGTTAGCCGCAACAGGGACTCCTCCATGGCCACGCCGGCGATGATGCTCGCGATCCCTCGAGAAGGAGCTGGAAATCCCTGGAAATGCTGCGCCAAGCGATGCCGCCATCGCTGGCTTAGAACTTCCTTAAACTTTCTTTACTTGAAGAGATTCGAACCTTCGAATTTTAATGTGTAATTCAGGAGATTCGAACCTCAAAACTTTGTGTCGAGATTCGAACCCTAGACTATACTTGAAGAGATTCGAACCCCACAATTTTGGTGGAGGAGAGAGAGGGATGATGAAGCGCGAGGAGAAGCCGCATTGGCGAAGCCACAAGCAGCCACTGCAGCGCTCGCCCCGAGCTCGTCAGGTATTTCCTCGCCCTAATCTCGTCAATCGAGCGCATTCCTTCGCCGTATCGATCGAATCGATTCGATTCTTTTCTTTTCCGGCAGGAAATCGGCGCCAGCGCCAGCGCCAGCGGCAGGGAGACCTGGCTGACGATTGCGCTCAAAATCTCCTACTTCTTGCCGGGGCTCATACTGGGATTCACGCTGGGATTGTGGACAGAGCTTCCAAAGAATGCCGGCAAGGCTCTTTTTACCCCCGCTGCTCCTCGTTCTGGTAGCAAGGCTAGAAGAGGCAATGCTGCTGCGTCTGGATCGTCCAGCTCTAGCGGTAGCAGCGTTATCAACTCGGATCAAACTGGCGAGCTCAAAATGGTACTGTTGTCTCTCCTCGACCTTTGAATATCTGAGCTCTTTCTTTTGTTTGCGCAGGTGTTTGTTGTGCGAATGGATTTGAAGATGGGAGGAGGAAAGATTGCCTCTCAGTGTGCTCGTGAGTTTTTCTTCCCAAAGTGTTTGCTTCTTTCTTTTCTCCTTTGCTTTTCCTGACGATTTTGTGAATTCTTTCCTCCAGATGCAGCAGTGGGCATATACAGCGATCTCATGCAAAGGTACGTTCTCGGTTTATCGCAAAACTTCCTCACACGTTTTTTTCATCCAGCAATCGATCGCTGCTGAGCAAGTGGGAATCTTGCGGCCAACCCAAGATCGTTGTCAGCTGCAAGCACGAACCAGAAATGTGAGACTTAAAACCATTCCCAGAAAGATCATCGCTCGCTCATCATAAATCTTAACAGGAATGATCTGAAAGCAAAAGCCGAGAGAGCCGGACTGCCAACTTTTACAATCGCCGATGCAGGTCGCACTCAGGTATGGTGATCTCTTTTAAAATCTATAGTTCGTCTTCCACTTTTTTTTCTTTCGTTCTTCTTTTGTTCTCAGGCTTGCTACTGAAAGAAACAAAAATACTTGTGTTTGATTCAAACAGGTAGCAGCAGGCTCGAAGACGGTGCTGGTGATTGGACCAGGTTTCACACATTTTCCCTCGTTCGATTTTGCGTAACTTGCATTTCATCCGCAGGACCCAAACCTCTCGTTGATTCGGTGACAAGACAATTGAAGCTTTTGTAAAACTGGTAAGCCAAAACTTTTTTTCTCTCATCTACTTGGAACTATCGCTGAATTCATGCTTTCTCCAGGACAATTGGATCTATAAACTTTACGTTTAATTCTTTTCATATACTTAGGTTGGAATGCCGAGAAGGAAGAAAAGCGAGGGATGGATACGCAAGCGCCGTGCTCCAGTAGCGCCGCGATGGCGCCGGAGGTCGCAAGCAGGCGATTCCAGCTCCAGCAGGAAGAGAGAATTGGATGTGGAGAGCGTGACTGTGACGCCGGATCAAGTTTGCGGGTGGTGTGCCACGGACGAGACCGCTGTGGACGCGTTCCAGGGCTGGGCGAGCAAGAGGAGCGAGAGCAGGAGAGAATGTGGGATTGGAAGAGCAGGAGATTTGAGGCGGCCTCCGGTTGTTTCGATTGCTCCTCCTCTGGATCGAGCTGCGCTCAGGCCGGGGCATGTCTTGGAGATTGCTGGGCCTAGTGGGTCTGGAAAGACTGAATTGCTTATCCAGGTTCGCGCTTTCGTTCGTTCATTCGCTCGTTCTTTTTCTAGACTTTGTGAATTCGATCGTCTTTTCTTTTTCCAGGCTGCTGTTTCGTGTATTCTTCCAGCAAGTTTTAACGGAGTTTCTTACGGAGGATCGGAAGCTGTGGTTCTCATGTTTGATCTGGATGGGAGATTCGACATAGCGCGTCTGACCAGCGTGCTCAAAGCTCGTATTAATGGTAAACTTTTCTATCAGTTTCTTAGAGAGCAAAGTTCTGACGTTTAGAACACTTTAGCGGCACATAAGGATGATACAGCTTCGAATTCGATTTGCTTGGAAGAGCAAGGAGAGGAGGTTTTGAGGGCCAGCCTGAGACGCTTTTATTGCTTGAGGTGTTTCAAGAGCTTTGAATTCCTGGCATCTCTCAAGGTAAGGAACCGGCAGTTTTCATTCAAGTCCTCGGTCGATCTTGTCTCTTTTCTTGCTTCCCAGAGCCTTCACATCCAGTCAAGCAGGATATCTCAAGAGCACCACGGCAAAGCAGTACAGCTAGTTCTTATCGACGGGTTCTCTTCCAATTTACTCAGACAATGTCGAGAAATGGTGTGTAACTTTGGTGTCCTTTTGCAGTATTGGCTCGTTTTATTGGCTGGATTGGATGTCTAGCTGTGCTGCTGCTTACACCAGTCGAAGGTAAGAATAAGGGACCTCTTTCTTTTGAAAGCAAAGGATATCATCTCGTTTGCAGAACGCTCGGTGTCCAGCGTTTTTCCGAGCTGATTGTCCAAGAGCTACGTAACCTTCGCAACACCAAGCTTTTCTTGGTTCTGGCAACGAAGGCTCTCCTTTATGCACCTCCCAAGAGGAAAGCCATCGCTTCTCGCATCCAGTACCGCGAGTACATGCCGGCAGCTTGGCAGGTATCTTGTGTTCTTTTCACTTGTGGACTAACCTCTGAGAAAATAAAGAAAGCAGAGATTTGTGACGCACAGACTTTTCCTTCAGCCGCCGCCCCAGGCGGCGTCAGGAGCTCGCGTCTTCACTGCTCAGTGGGACAAGCCTTCACTGGTGGAAAAAGACGAGTTTTTCATACACAATGTAAGCGAGCTAGCTCTCTTTGTCATGGCTAACTAGCTGCTTTCCCAGCATGGTGTCCAAGTTGTCACCAAAATCGTAGACGAGCACCTCTAAGAACGTAAGAATGTTTCAGATTTGGGAGTCTTGTGTATAGTCTTTTGTGTTTGAGGCTCTCTTCGATCTCCTGATCGCCCCTGTAAAATGCTGCGAGCATCCAACATGCTCCCACACTTTGTCTCGTGGCTCGCCTTGAGCTTGTTCTGTCCATGACGAATTTCGGAAGCGGAGCATGGTCCGCAGGTACACTTCCATCTATTTTTCCTCTTCATGACGAATGCTATCCAGGTTGATATTTCTCAATTCTGGTGTTGGGAATCGAAAGAACTGGCTGGCGGATGATGAAAGCATAATCGGCAGCACCTTGGAGTTGGGAAAACTCGGCAACTTTGAGCTCACCAAGTTCCAGAGCTAAGCTTTCTTCGAAACAACACAGATCAAAGACCCAAAGCCTTCGCAACAACGTCAATTCAACTTAAGCCATTCTCTTACAAAATGCGAGCTTCCTTCTCGAAGCTGTCCTAGAGATCTTGCACAGTCAAGCCTGGAAAAGAAAAACAAAGAACGGATTAGCGAAGAAGAAGGGGCGAAACGATGAAAAATCCCACCAGGCGGAAGCGATTGCTTGAGCTTGTCGGCCTTGTCCGAGTCGAAGACGCACAGGGTGTAGAGGTACTTCTTGCAGCGGACCTTAAACTTGACGACATTCTTGCTCCTCTTGATCTTGACGGAGCGCGCGTCCTTCCGCCTCACCGTCAGCAAGAAATCCTTGATCTCGCTGATCTGCTTCGGCTGATAGCACGCGCCGAGAGACGAATCAATCCCCTAGGCCCAGCTGCAATCTGAGAAGGAAGAGCTTACCATCGCGGAATCCCTGGCGCAATCGATCGATCTCCAGCCGCCGCCAAAACCCTAGAGCGCCCTAGGGTAATTCTCGGGTTCGATTCTCCTGTCAAAAACTACTAGCATATTCTTGGTTTATCCCCGATGTTTAAGAAAGGCTAAGGCTCGAAACCTTTTAGGGAAAGATAGGCGCAAAACTATAACTAGAAGAGAGTGGGGAATTTTGGAGGGGAGGGATGGAGATCGTCAAGCTCGCTTGGCGCAAGTACCTTACTTCCTTGCAGAAGAATCCTTTGCCCACCAAGGTAGGCCGGAGATCGATTCTTTTTGCTCGATTTCATGGAATTCCTCCCTCCATTTGATCGATTTCCAGGCGCTCACGGCCGGGACGCTGGCTGGATGCAGTGATCTCGTCGCGCAGAAGCTCATGGGGGTCAAGAAGCTCCAGCTGAGGCGCGCCCTTCTCATTGCGGTAAGAAATTCTTCGTGTTCTTCGTCCTAGATCTTAATTTACTTTGTTTTTTCTTTGTCAAGCTCTATGGCTTGTTGTATGGGGGTCCATTTGGACACTTTTTCCACAAGCTCATGGACTACGTCTTCGCTGGTAAACGCGACCAAAAGACGGTCACTAAGAAGGTTTGCTTGAGAGAAAGAAAAGGGGAACTTCTCTCTTACCTTGCATTTGGATTTCCAGGTTATTGTCGAGCAGCTCACATCGGGGCCTTGGAACAATTTTGTTTTCATGGTGTACCTCACTTCCGTGATCGAAGGTAAGGCTCTTTGCGTGTTTGATCGTCGAGAGTTTGATCATTAAGCTCCGTGCGTGTTATTATTTCTACGCAGGAAAGTCATGGTCGTTTGTCAAGAGAAAACTTCGCAATGACTATCCTTCTGTGCAACTAAATGCTTGGAGGGTACTAAACTTTACTGGATTCAGTGGGAAGATTAGTGACTGCTTGGTTTGATTTACATGCGCAGGTGTGGCCGCTTGTTGGCTGGATCAATTACACGTACATGCCGATCCAATTCCGAGTCCTCTTCCACAACTTGGCTGCTGTCTGCTGGTAACAATGAGTTTCTTCTTGATAGCCATTGATTACGAGATCTGCAATTTATAGGGGCGTATTCTTGATCACGAGATCCCGCACAACAGCCTTGAAGAGTGCCTGAGAAAGGATCTACATTTCGGGTTTATGGTTTAAGTTAAACCCTCTGAAGAACTAGTTGCACAACTGTTTTTTGTTCATTATCCTCAACTCATAATATTGTGCTTTCTCAGGATAAACAAAAAATTTCTTGGTGGTCTTTAAGAACCCAGGTGTAGATGGATACTTTCTAGAGTCTATAGAATATTTATGATGGACAAGGGGACAATCTACTGAGTTTCTGACACTTATAGATTGAGATATCATGTTCTCATGCTTTAAGAAACCCTTGATCTCAACAATCTTTGCGAAGCTTCTAGCCAAAGGTGTCTTGTGTGCTGGACAGAAGACAAAAGATGTAGAGTGAGAGGGCAGGCTGGGTTCCAACTGCATTATAGTTGCATTGACCACTTAATGATGCGGCGGGTAGCCACTTCTGTGGACCTACTTCAGTTCATGTATGCTACATCGACATAGTAAAAGCCTTTGACAAGCACACAGCTTCAAGAGATAAATGTCCCAACCAGAGCTCATCAAGCTCATTTAGAGGCTTTACGAAAACGTGAAAGTGGACATCCTACAGCATACTAAGACTGACTATGACACAGGTTGCCCCACTCTTTATGCCTATTCATCAATGGGCTAGAAATGCTTATGGCAGGGCACACTCCCTCCTCAATCTTGCTTCCTGGGATGATTCTGTAGTTGCTCATAAATGTGGATATTGGTCCCCTCACAACTGGAACTTCAATGCAACTAAGACAAAGATGATGGTTTCTAGCCTAGATATAGCAAACAACTTCCACTAGAAGGGGGAATGGATTTGTTGTTAAACATATGAGTAAGACAAAGATAATGGTTTTTGGCCCAAACACAACAAATAAATTCTAGTATAAAAGGGAATGGATTTGTAAGTTTTTGAATTTGGACTTCCCTAGCAAGTTACAAGGGGGAAATGATTTATAAGCGTTTGAATTTGGACTTTTAGGGGGATTACCAAAAATCCTTTGATTGGAAATAAAAGTGCATTTTTGTTAATGGACAATTTTCCTTCAATCATTATCTTTGATTGTTTATATGATTGAGCACACGAAAAATGTCATAAATGTAACTGCAGGTATCAAAAATTATTTGTCAGCTAATCCTTTTGAATTTTTTTTCCCTACTACCAAAAGGAATGGGGGGATATAAAGGGTTCTAAATTTATAATAAGGGTAGTGGTAGGTTGAGCATGGTCAATTAACCTAAGGCATAATGTAGTTTATACTTGCATGTCTATTTTTATTCTGCATTTGGCTTGGGTTTAAGCCTAAATTCCATTCCATATTAATTATATCCTCACATTAGTATGCTAAAATAGTGTTAAATTCCATTTAGCTCCATTTTGTATGTTAGTCCTAGCACTAGGATGTTAAATGTTCTAAGATTGTTCCAAGTCACTCCGTGCTCTTGTCTCTTCATTCCTTGGGTTATATGCTTAAGAGTTACTTTATCCTCCAGTGCCATTGCTCTGTGCTCTAGTGCCGTTGCTTTGTGCTCTAGTGTTGTTTCTCTATGCTCTAATACCATCACTCCTTAGTTCCATGACTAGAAGTTTGGCTTTGTTTCTTCATTCAGTGGCCTAAGGCCATGAAACTTGGGTTTTGCACATGGCATATGGAAGAATTAGGTTCTGCTTTGTGATTATCCTATGGTAATTCACTATAAGATAAAGGGTGAAAGCCACATTTGCTATTAAGAAATATTATACCTGGTATACGGGGGGATATAAATGGTTTCAAATATATAATAAGGATAGTGGTAGGTTAAGTATGGCCAACCAACCTAAGGCACAGTGTAGCTTGTATTTGCATGCTTGTTTTTATTTTGCATCTGGCTTGGGTCTAAGCCCAAATTCTATTCCATGTTAGCTGGTGGAATACTCATAGCCTCATATTAGTTTACTAGTATGTTAAAATAGTGTTAAACTTCATTTAGCTTTGTTTTATATGTTGGTTTTAGCATTGGGATGTTAGATGTTTTAAGATTGTTCTAAGTCACTCCATGCTTTTGTTTCTTCATTCCTTGGGTTATATGCTCAAGAGTCATTTTATCCTCCAGTGTTGTCGCTCTATGCTCTAGCGCCGTCACTCCTTAGCTCCATGATTAGAAGTTTGGCTTTGTTTCTTCATTTAGTGGCCCAAGGCCATGAAACTTGGGTTTTGCTTTACTGTCCATTAACACATGGCATGTTACATATGGCATATGGAGGGATTAGGTTCTGCTTCGTGGTTATCCTGTAGTAATTCACTATAGGATAAAGGGTGAAAGCCATGTTTGTTATAAAGAAATATAATACCTAAGATACGGGGGGATATAAAGGGTCCAAATATATAATAAGGATAGTGGTAGGTTGAACATGGCCAACTAACTTAAGGCACAATGTAGCTTGTATTTGCATGCTTGTTTTTATTCTGCATTTAGCTTGGGTCTAAGCCCAAGTTCCATTCCATGTTAGTTGGTGGAATACTCATATCCTCACATTAGTTTAGTTTACTAGTATGTTAAAATAGTGTTAAACTCCATTTAGCTCTGTTTTGGTGTTGGTTCTAGCATTAGGATGTTAAATGTTTTAGGATTGTTCTAAGTAACTCTATGCTCTTGTCTCTTCATTGCTTGGGTTATATGCTCAAGAGTTGCTCTATCCTCCAGTGCCATTGCTCTGTGCTCCAGTGCTATTGCTCTATACTCTAGTGCCATCACTCCTTAGCTCCATGATTAGAAGTTTGGCTTCGTTTTTTAATTTAGTGGCCCAAGGCCTTGAAAGTTGGGTTTTGCTCTACTATCCTTCAACACGTGGCATGTGGTACATCGCATGTTACATGTGGCATATGGAGGATTTAGGTTCCACTTTATGGTTATCCTATAGTAATTCACTATAAGATAAAGGGTGAAAGCCACGTTTGCTATAAAAAAATATAATACCTAAGATACACCATTGATTAATGCCTACCATGGAAAATTTGAGTAGAAGAGTATATCATGTTAGTGGCAAGGGCTAGTGCACTCCTCTAATCAAATTACCATAAAGCAAACACACCTAATACATGACAAGGTAACAATAGTGGCCTCGGATGGAGCAAAAAGTTGGGGTTTAGGATTAAGCAAGACTATGTGAAACAAGCTTAAGACAATCAATAAATGTTTCATCTCAGGAAAATTTAGGGTATACAAGGCTCTATACCCAATCATAGTTCTAAAGACAGACTTAACTCCCAATGAAGATTCTCACTAGGTGACATTACATCATGTATGTGCAAAGTGCATACTTTCTCTACAAACAAAAACTTGTAAATGCAGCTATTGTTGAATCAAGCTTTTAGATAAGGTTGGTGACACACTCTTGAGGTATGGACAACCACCCTTGGCTATGACCTCTTCACTCTGATGATGGAATTGATTGAACAATTAAAGTTTTGGACATGGCAATCTCTCCAATATTGGTGCAATGCTGTAGCGCATGTGGTTTTGACCTTTTATCCTATGGTGATTTACCATAGGATAACACCACAAAGCGGAACCTAAACCCTCTATGTGCCACGTGACAAATGCCACGTGTCATATGCCAAATGTCTATGCCACGTGTCCATAGGAACCCGAGGTTCAAGGCCTTGGGCCACTGAATGAAGGAACGGTGCCAAACTCCCAAGCACGAAGCCAAGGAGTGACGGAACTGAACCACATAACAACTCCCGAGCATAAAGCCTAAGGAGTGAAGGGACAGGAGCCCGGAGCGACTTGGGACAGTCCTAGAACAACCAACATCCCAATGCCAAGACCAGCACGCAAAACGGAGCCAAACGGAGCCAAATAGAGTCTGGCGCTATTTCGGCATACTGGTGGCCTAATGCAAGGACATGGGTACTCCACCAACTAGCATGGTGTGGAACTTGGGCTTAGACCCAAGCCGGACATAGAACAAGGACGGGCACGCAAGTGGAAGCTAGACTATGCCTCAGATTGGTTGGCCATGCCTGACCTACCCACTATCCCTATTATACATTTGGAACCCCCCACAACCCCCCCTCCTTTTGAGGAACACACGCTTTGGGCAAGCCTCCCTTAGTATCAGGAGTTAGTCTCTGGGACAAGCTCGAAACTTATTAAATATGGAATATCCCTAGATTATGAATTTGGATATGGGACGAACACCATTGTGTTCAGGACGATCTCTACATTTCGTAGATATGCCAAATGAGCAAATCTGGACACTTTCCATAAATAGTATTTGGGACCGAAATGAGACAAACACAAAGGGCATGATAACGAGGGTGTTTGGCAGACACGGTAAATTATCATGTAGTGATATTGAGGGACCAATCTCAACATGTGAGGGTTCTTGTCAAGCCAGTGCAAGATAGAGCAAAAGAGAACTAAAAAGCTAGGCCAAGTATGCTTGACTGAATAGACACTTAGGAATTCCGTCCTTATGCTCATCCAACCAAGTACAAATGCAAAGTCTAGTTTACTAACACTTGAACAAGAGGGGCTGCAATACCGACCTCCTGCCATCGTGGCAGTAAGGTAAGAGTGTCCGTAAGGACTGGTTAACAGGTAACTTTCGATACCCGAAGTCATAGTCGCAACACTCTCCCCCCCCTAGGGAAGATCGACGTCCTCGTCGATGCACACTCGAGTCTAGAATACCACTAAGGAAACAACTCCAGCTTGCCAAGATAGTCCGGTTCCTTGCGTCGAGTCGGGCTCGGTGGCCTCGATCAAGCTCGGCTTCCGCGACACGGCCTCGGTTAGCCGAGGCATTCACGGTATTCACACTATGTGAGAAATGCACCAACTTAAATGAGTTAGGAGGCAACCTCTTTGTCTAACGCAGATGCGCTACCAGCTCAGACACCTTCCGACCGTCGCCAACAAGGAAATGACTAAGGGAGTTAGCCACCTTTGCTACTCTGGGAGTCACCCAGCTTACAAAAGTGTGATACGCCCATGCCTGCAGGGACATAGAGAGAGAAGCTAGAGGCCCCAACCCTTCTGCCATCTGTAAAGTTTAGATAGACTACTGTAAACAAGCAATTAGAGTTGTTTACACGGTCACGCCCTTTTAACAGAATAAGGAACATCGACAGAGAGGTGAGTTATGTGACCAGTTGACAGTAACTACCCCATGA